GCAGAGATCTCACTCCAGTCTGTTTAAACAAAGAAGACAAAAATGACCTTAGCAGAGAAATTTGGAAGAGAACAGAAAGTTTAATATGAATGCGTATTTATCATAACTTTTTTGTAAAAGCTAAAAATACACTTCCAGGCCACGGGCATGAAAATGTATGTCTGTAGAAATAACTGACATGCCTGAAAACACAATGTTAAAAAAAAAAAAACACAGAACAAAATTGAGACTTGCGGAAACCAAAAAGAAAACCATTTCAGAGTTCAAAATAAAATAGTAAGTACATACATATTCTTTGCAATCTAGAAACATTACAAATGGCAACATTCTCAACTTTCAAAATGTATCTGATTTCTGTGAGAAAGTAGTATGCATTCCTTATTAAAACCCTCAAATGTCAATCAAAATTATATAGATAAATATCTAAAAGATGACATATTCTTTTTCTTACCTGATGATTAGAATTTCCACAAAAACTGTTGTAAATCTAAAGTTCAACTGCTCTCTTTCTCCTCTCTGTCCTTGTCTTATTCTGTCTACTCTCCTCCTCCAGGAGGCCTTAAGGCTCTTATTTTGCATTTCTCTCCACCCACTGATTTTTTATTCCCTTCCTCTTTCATCCACTCAAGCACTCTAAAACATTTCCTTTGAAAAGGAATAAAAACCACACTAACCATGCCTTTATACAGAAAATAACCCCAATCAAATACAAACAAATCTACCCCCTTACATTATTCAGAAAAAAAAGAGAGAATGCAAATCAAAACCATTTTAGTGATAACTGGTGAAACTCCAACTGCAGAGTTGCTGATTCTTACGTTGTCGATGGAAATGTGTTTCTTGAGTCATGGCAGCTGCTGATTGACGATACCGCTGTTAAATTTCTCAGCAGTGGAAACGCTGGGAAAACAAGAACAGACAATAATATATAATCAGAGTACATTAAACATATCACAGATGTGCCTATTGTTGTTTAGCTGATAAAAAGTATTATATATTATAACTCAATGACAAAGTATTGCAACCAGAGCTCTGCTATTAATCTTTTCTTGTTCCACAAGAAACTGTTACAGGTAGGGTTTTATCCAGACTGCAAGCTGTATTTCATGTAACAATTTAAAACTCAAGCCACTTCAATCAAACAATATATAAACAAAAATATAAAACTGGACAGGTGTAAGATTCAGGTTTTGTGTCTGCTTATTTATGGTTAACAGAGATTCATTATCTTTTCATATTCTGCCCCCTGCTGGAGATATGAAATGTAAGCAGTCTGTAGTTCTGCAATACACCACCTGAAGAGAGAGGCTGAAAGAATGAGAAAGGCAATGATAGTGAAACATGAATGGATTGTTAAAAAATTGTTCTTTTCTCAGTCTTTTGGATAAACTGGTTTGAATATATATATATTTTCATAGTTTTTACAGTTGCTGCTGCTGTTATATGCAGCGTTATAACTCAGTGACACACTAACAGCAACAAGCAAAACCACATGTGTCCACAATGTAATGTCACTTCCTTCCGATTATGACAGAAATGAAGAATGAAAGAGACCCTGCAAATCAGGAGAAGCTTGCACTGTCACTGCAGACAGATATCTGAAATATGAGACCTGCATGGGGTAAAGCATTGTGTCAGCTGAATTGCTTGGCACTGAAAGGACACGGACTGATCCATGAACACACACACATATATGATATAAGCATAAAGGCTTTAGGGCATAAAGTAACACCTGAGAATAACTAAGAAAATAAATGTAAAACACAACTGATGAAAGACAAAACAAAGTTCTGTATAATTTCTTTTGGCACATATTAAGAAATACAGTTGTTTTCGCACTGCAGAAAAACAAATATGAACTGAAATGACTACTCATGGTTAAATCAATTATGCATCTAATATGCATATAATTTGCAAAACATTGATAACAGACAAAAACTACAAATGAACTGGATTACTAAATGTAACAAATGCCCATGCTGTTGATTTGTCAGCACTCTAGCAAAACAACTAATATGTAATCCTTAAACACAGACAAAGGCTGTTTTGTTGGAATGCAATGAAAGAGGGAAAAGCAATCTGGTTAGCTTTACTGGATACTGCATTCTTTAAGGGGAAAAATATGTATGTGTGCAATAATGGACATAATCTGCTCCTGGTACAGACCAGTATATCTTGGGCTGTACCAGGAGCTACATACTAATTTGAGACTAGCTCAGCTGTACCACAGAACCCAGATTCTTAACTAATACCACCGTCATATTTAATTAATGTAAACATAACTTAAATAGAGAGTGCAGTAACCAATACTTTGTATTTTGGCAGCAATAATTACTCTACCTTGCCTTGAGACATTTTTAAACCTTTCTCTGAAACATTAATGATATTTACATACATTTAAAGACTCCAAAACGCCATCTCTGCAGCAATATATTTCTGGACAGCCCAAAGGAACGACTAAATAATACAGTGAATAACTTTCAAAAAGATAGACTATCCCATCTGCACTAGTGCAGGTGAGTCTGTTGTTTACATACCAGAGCGAAGCCCAGCTTCAGAGAGGAACACGAACACTGCTCAGCGTTTCTTCTGCGTTTACAATTGAACACTGTTGTTTATCTGGAAACAGTGCTCCAGTTTTGAAAGCTTAGCGTGAACGGTCAGTCCTGGAGTAACTTTATCATGCTGCTCTCTGTAGATATGCGTATGGAGGAGTTGCTGCTTACGTCATGACGCATTACGGCAGGTGTGCAGTGCAGCAGAGGTCTATCAGCGTCAATTCGTAATAGCGTGCTACTTCGTACTTATTTCAATTTAAAATAACCACATGTATGGTTCTGGGGTATATGTTTATATATGGTTTGTATAAAAATGTAAAAATAATATATAAAAAAAATTCCATTGAATTTACAATTATAAAAATGTAGCCTAATGCTGTAAAATGCATAGAAGTTAAATCAGAAACGAATGTTTTGTCAAAACTCAAGTTAACTCTAAGAATGACAGATGTCTTCAGGATTAAAGTGACATCTGCTGGTCATTTTCTGAAGTACAGATCTATCGTTAGAGATGTGCATTGGGAAGAAACAATAAATAACAGGCCTACACATTTTACTTTAGTGAATAAAGACGGGTTTGCTTAGAAAGTCTATTTCTGCAGGCTACATACCTTAAGGTCTACAAAGGTCTATAGAAAAGCTATTGATCATTTTTTTCAATATTATTTTTTAGCTAAATGTAAACTAAAATAATCATGAAACTCTTATCAACTCATGACACAACTTAAATGTAACATGACTTGTTTTGTAATTACTTATTGATGAAAAAAGTACTAATCACGAATTATTAATTAATATAATTAAAAATTAAATATATATAATATTGTAAACACGTGACAACTTGGCCTGACAAAACGTATAAAAAATATCCTTAGCCTAAGAACAATTTTAACCCTTTGGATAAACTTCATTATGGTTTTATTGTTCCTGTTTGCTCAACAAAAATATAAGAATACATTTTTTTTTTAAATTTAATTTAAAGTATTTTACTAGTTAATTAAAAACAAAAAAAAGGAAAATAAAAAGGAGATGTCTGACTTAAACGTTCTATGTGTATGCTTACTACTGTAATTACAGGAAGTTATCAAACATTTCTATAAAAATATAGTCACATAACATACACCATGTTTTCAAAAGATACAATACAATCATTTTTCATGTATCAGTTTATTAGGCAGTTGTATTTACAAATCATCTTTTAAACTGTAAATGATCAGTAATTATCTGTAAATTTACATTGGCAAGCCTCCATGAGGTGCATCTCTGCACAGATAATCAACATAAATGCAGATAAGAGAAGAACATCAACAGATTTTCTAAACTTCTTTTCGATGGCTGAATAAACAGCATGTGGAGACACTGAAATGGTTCCCTAGAGATAAAGAAGAGTTAACATTTGAATTAGACAACTACACAGGGAAATAACCTTTGGGGGAAAAAAAGATAAAGGGGACAGAGCAAAACTAAATTTCTCTGGATTTGTCTTAAGCTGACTTGCAAAGCACAGATTGTCAAGTTTAAGCTCATAAATCTCATTAATAGAGATTCTGAAATGAGTTTAGAACAAAAACAATATCATCCTTTTAGGAAACTAGATCTAAACGTAACAAAGACTCAAGAATTCCAGAAGGTCGAATCAGAATTACTGGCCTTAAATCTCCTTTTCTTTTTGAGAATATGATACTGCTGCATTCATAAGAACTAAGAGTTATTTCTTTAATGCGGTAAGAATGTGTGTTAAGACATTCAGACTTTAAAATGTAAATATGCTGTGCCATACATACCATAGAATAAATGTATTATTTAAAATTATGTCTTAGCTTTTTTAGCATTGAATTTGGGACATTTAATTTGAACATAGCTGGAGCTCTGGGCAGGCAAATGAACAAGAGCAACTTACTTAAAACTTATATTGTTTTCCTTTTCATCTATGAAACATACGTTGAAAGAACTGATAAGAAGAAGAGGATTACTCCTGTCAGTAAGCTCCTACATAACATAATTTCATTCATTGTTAACAGGTTGCAGTTCTTTCCTTTGTGAACTTTTGTATAATTTTGTTTATTACACAGGCTCATATGAGGGCACATAAAGTCACATGCAAGTAGGAAGCGCTTTTCTATTTTATGATCTTAACGATTATGACTTTGCAAACACAGTATTAAGGAGATCGCTCAGTGTGCGCCAATATTTCAATTCTAATTTGTTCTTTTTTTCCATTTTCATTGTGGTGATAAACTTTATTAGACACCTCAGCGGTGTGTGTGTTTTTTTACATCTCAGCCAACATAAAAAAAAAACAAGTTTTAATACTGGGCCTGTCTTACTACAGATACTTAATTTGTAAAAGTGGTGGGGATACAAAAACATTTGATTTCTTTCTTTAAGGAGAACTTCTTTTTCAAGCAACCACTGTTTTGTAAAACAAATAAAATAACAGTAAAAAAAATGTTTTTGATAAAGCAGTGTATGGAATAAAACATCTTACAGTGATACAATCAAATATTTCTTTTAAAAAAATCCAGTCCAATATCACAATTTTAATAATCTACAACCCCATTTAAAGCACTGATAAATATAAATCCAAATGCATGTTTAAATTCTGTATATACTTAAATTTATGTAAAATGTGAGCGAATAGAAAAAAAGACTAAGGTGTGACAAACAAACAAAAATCTATGAAACAGAGGCAAGGACATTGCACTCCTTCAGGATAAATGGGTTTAATATCGGTCTCTTCCTTAAGAAAGGCTGACTTATCAAGTTGTCCCTTTGTGTTAAAGTGCCCACCACGTTAAATTGGCCCCGCTTTTTAAGACGGCTCCTCCTAATCGAGTGCCCTTCCCAGTAGGCCTCATCAATGGTATAACCAGTTCTGACACTGGCCCACAAAAACTTACAGGTAAAACTGTGCAAAAGCGCTTTCTGTCTTACTCGTCGTCCCACATGCCTCACAAGGGCTCTTTCTTTATATATCTCTTGGTCCGCCACGAATCGCAACAGCATTGTGTACAGTACAGCTAGCTCAGTGTATAACTCATTTAAATGCACCTCTACGCCTCACTCTGCAAGGAAATACTTGCTATAAAACCCAGAAAAGAATAGTAAAACCATCTCTAAAAGAGTTTAGACACTATAGAGTGGCTTAGCAATCTTTCTGACATCTTAACTGTGGCACAAAAAAACAACCTCCATCCTTTTCCTCCTTGTACCTTTTCTCAATCCTCTTAAACAGGCTGATCCTGGCGACTGTAGAGCCACAGACCATTCAGCTTTTTTAGGCGAGTGGGATGCATGGAGTCTTGAGTCCGTCCGCATGCTTATTGCTCTAAAGACACTGAGAAAGAAAAAGAGAGACGAAAAGAACAGAGATAGAAAAACTGCTGTGGATGATGACACCGATATCAGAGGACGAAGAGGTAGACAGCATTCCAGAAGAAAGAGAAAAGAAGCCAGAGAGTGAGAGGGAAGACAGAGGAGAGTGAGAGAGAAGGCATCAGAGGAAGCACAAGTTATCGTGCTAGCAGCTTGATGAGGTTGGCGCACATCTCAAAGAACTCTATGGTGTGACTTCCTGGGCGGGGGAGGGGGATCTCTCCCCCTGTGGAATCCACTGAGGAGGTAAGAGAAGAAGCCAGAGAGCCTTCTGCCGCTTTCCCTACGGATATCGGAGGCGTGGAAGGAGCGGACACGTCGCCCTTTGCTGCATCCTCACATTCGTTTTTTTCATTCCTGTCGTTCTTTAGGGTAGTCCGGTAGTTACCGACTGAGCCAGAGCGGTGAGGTGTGGCAGTCCCTGATTTTACTTCTACCATGTCATCTAAATGAAACAGAACAGAAGGCTTTAGAGAGTGAAATCCAGAACACTCCGCAACCGAATTTTGGTTATGATTCCTTTTCTGGAATGATCATTGAGATTTTAGCAGAACCAATATAACATTTAAGAAATAAATATTGTTTTAATTTACATTCTTACGTAAAGTGTTTTCAAATTTCATGCTAATTTGTTACTAAAAATAACTACATTAGCACAATGCAATAACTAGTTTTAAATGCCAAAAAATATTTTATTTATATTTTATTTATATACAGACAGAAGAATGTGGTTAAATTAAATTAATTTTTATAAAATACTATTGATTACGAAACTCACAATGTGTATTTTTACATGTTGTCAAATGAACAACCATTGAGCAACTACACTGTTACAGTCTCACAAGACTGTTTAAGTGAAGTGACATGTGGCCAAGTATGGTGACCCATACTAGGAATTAGTGCTCTGCATTTAACCCATCCTTAGTGCACACACACAGCAGTGAACACACACACACACCGTGAACACACACCCGGAGCAGTGGGCAGCCATTTATGCTGCGGCGCCCGGGGAGCAGTTGGGGGTTCGGTACCTTGCTCAAGGGCACCTCAGTCATGGTATTGAAGGTGAGAGAGAGTGCTGTACATTCACTCCCCCCACCTACAATCCCTGCCGGCACGAGACTCGAACCCGCAACCTTTGGGTTACGAGTCCGACTCTCTAACCATTATAGGCCACGACTTCCCCTTAAGTAATGAATAACATGGTAACACTTTGGACATCCTGAAATAATATTTGCATTCAGTACAAGAGTCAGATTTATTTAATTACCACTCTGTGTGATTCATATCCTTATGTGTGTGATTATGTATACATTTTTATATATTTTTTATTAATTACTGTAAATTAAAGTACCAACTAGTAAATAAATAAATAAATACGTTTTAAAGCACTGAATAAAACCACACACACAAGGTGACAATTTTACCATCTATGCTCCTGAAGTCTAGTAAATAGGTCCTGCTGTCCACCTGGTAGAGCTGGAGGCTCATCTTTGTATGTATGCCAGTGACTGGGTTCTTCCTCCGCACTCGCAAGTAATAAGGATTAACTACCTATCAAACCACAGAGGAAAAAAAACCGTCAGCTCAGTAAAATGTGACTGTAATGGATCTAAAGTTCATTAATATTCAGCAAGGCTTTTAACTTTAAAAGGGACTGGTACATTGCACTGTAACACTGTTTTGAGAAAGTCTGAATGGCGTACTCCTGAATAGCACATGATAAGAGGCCGCTATGAGATAAGACAAAGAACGAAAACTATTATTCACAAAGACATGTAAGCCACTTCCCTCTAAAACTGATGACTCACTCAGTCAAGCATACATGAACTTCAGCCAGACACACAAAGCAAAAATATAAACACCCTCTGCCACAGGTTTTTATTTTACCATATTACTGTTTCACTGTATTTTTTGACCAAACAAATGCAGCTTTGTGAGCATAAAAGACTTCAAAAAGGTTTCAAAAACATATATAAAAATAAATATCTTACTGACCCCAACCTTTTGAACGAAGTGCACTATTAAAAACAAATTCTGTCCTTAATACATTAGAGGTTCTGTTTAGCTCAGAGGTGTTATAATAATGACAGTAAGATATGCAGATATCATTCTATTCTATTTGGCCTGCCTGTATATATGTGTGTGTGTGTGTATGTGTGTGAGAGTGAGTGAGAGAG